CCCCCCCCCCCCCCCCCCCCCCCGCCGGGGGGGGGGGGGGGGGGGGGGGGGGGGGATGCCGGCGTCCATCTCAGCCTGCTCCTCCTGCCCTCCCGCACGCACACGCACCGGGGTTCTCGGCGCCGTACCTCTCTCTCGCCTCCGCCTCCGCGGGTTCCCCCGGGCGGCTGCCCTCCTCCCCCGGGCCGCCGCCGGCGTCCTCCGTCCGGGCGCCCTCTGGCGCGCCGCTCACAGGCTGCTCCTCGCTGGCCGGCAGGTGTTGGATGAAGCTCTGCTGGGGCCATGATTGGCTGCCGGGTCTGGCGTAGACGGGTGTGGGGCCCGGGGTGGGGGCCAGGATGCTGTGCACGGGGCTGCTGCCTTTGCGGAGGCCGCCTCGCTCCCGCGAGTGGCTCTTCAGCCGGCTGGGTGTCGGGCTCCCCCGGTGGTCCAGGCCCTCCTGCTGAATGTACCCCCCGCCGCCGGCCGATCCCTGGGTCGAGTGGCTGAACCAGCGCCAGCGGAGGCGGAGGATCTGCTTCACATCGAACTCCTTCTTCCCGGACACCGACATCCCCACAGCTGCTTTTTTATAAAGCAATGAAAAGTGGAACCTCAAAAAAATAAGTAAAAAACAGCGAAGGAGGCAAGGTGCCTATATTTGTCACCTTCCTGCTCTCTCCCCCTCGCTCTCCCCGCCTGTCTGTGCTGCTCTCTCTGCAAAGGAGAAACAGACACTCTCAGATGCTCTCCTGTGCTTTGGGGCTGCTCTCCACACGGTTCTCCTCTCCTGCTCTATCAGTTTCTCCTAGAGCTCATTTACTGCACATGCATGGAACTCTCTCTCTCTCTCTCTCTCTCCCCCTCTCTCTCGCTCTCCCTCTCTCACACTCCAGCTCCCTCGCTCTCCTGCACTCATACGACGGTAAATGCGGGAGAGAGGAATGATCTTGGAATGGTTTTCCGCCGGCCGAGGATCCTGAGCGGCTCCAACCTGGGGAGGCGGGGAATACTGACAGGATGATGAGGTCAGACCTTAAATGACTAAATCAGCTTAGCAAACGGAAGCCAGTGACCAGCGGCACTTTCTGCGCTGAGACGCTGGGTCTTCTTGCTCTCTCTCTCTCTCTCTCTCTCTCTGTGTCTTGCTGACATACATGCCCAGCCCCCCCATCCCTTAAGACACACACACACACACACACATCTGCCTACACAGACTTCCCGGTACTGTCCCTGTCAGGCTGGGGCCCCCAGGGGGAAGAACAGGGGCTCAGAGACTCCATGCAGGAAAATAATCAGCACGTTAAGGCCCCCAAACCTTGGTGACAACCAGCAAATTAACAAACCCCCCAGGGAAGAGGGCAACTATCTTGCCGATCACACTTCTGCGAAGTGCCCTTTAATGTATGAATTAGGTCCCCTTTAAACCATTCCCTTTGATAATTTGAAAACACAAACACAATTTGATGGTTCAGTGGCTTTAATTCCTTATGCCTTTCTCTAGCTTGTATGTAGTTACAGGTTCATGCATATGTCCACAATATTTATATCTCCCTGCTTATGCGTATAAGCGAATGGGGCTCCATGTCTGTATAATATTATGACAGGAATTCCAAACTTTACATAGCATTGACATAAAAGCTTGATGTCCGTGGCAGAAACACAAAGACAGGATGTCACTATGTTACACAATGTTAAACCCATGTGATTGTATGAGAGCATGAGGTATATATTTCAAAATACTACATCCCAGGTGTTTGGAACCCTGAAGAGTGTCGGTAAGTGATTTCTTTGGTTTATTAATGCGCAAGATATTAAAATGTTCATCAAATGAAAGCTGTGCTGAGGTATTACAGCCATATCTGGGATGTTGTCATCTTCAGTTTAATGGCCCTCTGGGTTGGGTGCAGAGTCACTCTAAGGCCACTTCTCATCGAGCCAGTGGATTTCTTTATTGACACATTACATGTTACATGCGATCCTGTGTTAAATGACTTTTTTTTCCCCTAAATTCCCTGCATTCTCATAAGCCAAACAAACTCCTTACTCCGTCTTGCTTGTTTCCGGAAAGCTGGCTATCTGAATTTGCAGCTTCTCGTGTTAAGTTCACTTCTTTCAGAACACCATATTGCTGTCCCCGTTCTGGACGGTCTGACGGTCCCTGTGCCTTTGCATAAACCACACTTTATAACACACAGGCTGGTCCTCAGATATCACTACAGGTAAATAATATATAAATCAAAAAAATCATACAGGTTAATTATGCAAGACCTGCAATCGAATTTCAGGCATAATACCAAGCACTCTGATTTTAATACTCATTCATATAGTATTCATCAGTATAAGTAATGATGCTTGCTGAATTCTGTTTGACAGAATGTCACAATTTCTCCATAAACTGCAACAAAAAAACAAAGAACTGACAGACAGAGCTATGGATGATGGGGGAAATGAAAATATTTAGGACATAAATATGCATTATTTGTTAATAAAATAGACAAGTCAATCCTCTGACAAGGGACCTAAAAAAACCTTGTTATAATGAAGAACCTTTTAGCTTTCATTAGCTAGGTAGCACACTAAACTCCAAGCCTCATGTAGTCTATATCGAAACATAATGTTATATATATAGCCTGATAAATAACTGACATGTTTTGGAGTTTCAGATGTAGCAAACAACATTCATCCATGATAGAGATAGAATTAAATGTTACTTTACTTATACATGCAATAGACATTGAGTGTAACAATATAAAAGGCTAGAGGAGTGAGTGCAGTTTTATGAAAATATGGGATGTCTATAAATAGAGGAAAGACTTTCAATTCAGCAGTTTCGGTTGAGTTTGGTGTCCTTTTTGACCTTAACGGTAGGTCTCCTTCTAATAGACTGATGATGATTGAGCTTGGGGTACCATCTGTCAATCTGGGATGACATCGAATATTTATGAATTACATTACCATGTCCCCACAATGCTGCGTCTTCTAGCTAGCTGTTCGGCTACACCTTAAGCAAAACCTTTTTGTGGCATTTACTGTAGCAATGACATGGACAAACACATTTTCAAACAACGCACGGCAGTTTGGGCAAAAAAAAGAAAAACAGGAGTGTCCAGGAATTTCACGTGAACATGAAAGTGTTTCGGTTTTACTGTGGAGATTATAATCGGTCAATTCACGGACTATGGAGCATTATTGCAAAAGCTGTAATGTTCTAGAGCAGTCAACCTTGGAATTCTTCTGCATAGGAATACATTTATGCAAATCATATGCTTTTTATGCATTTTACTAGGACTTTAAAAAAATCAATGTATTCGTTATTAAGTCAGTAGTGGCGACCCTGCATTGATTGGTTAAAAATGTTGATTGGTCACATGCTGCCTAGTGATGGGTGTTATGACAAGGTCTCCAAGCGTGACATGCTGAGGGCAAACACGTGTCACCCGCCTTCACGGCCTCATTGATATTCCTCTGCGGTGGAGAAAACAGAGGCTGCAGCTGCTCTGGAGAGGACACGGGCGGAGATGGTGCAGATAAGGCCGGCCTCCTTCTCAAAGAGCCCCATCTCCACAGAGACGTGATTCCAGGCTGGATCCAAACCAGCAGGAAATCCAAATCGAGGGTTTGGCGGCGTAAACAGGAAGTGGAGGGTGGGAGTGCACTGGAACCCACGCGCCCAGTGGCCTGGATTGCAAATCAAATCAGTTTCTTGAACATCAGCAAACTGTGTTGAGCTTCTCACACCAATGGGTAAAAGCGCATATGCCACGTTTAATCACGTAAAGCCGATTTGTAAGATAATTTACACTGGATTTCATCTGCGATGGGTTTCACCGTCTTCCTCATATTTTAGCTTGCACTGTCACCCAGGGGATTAACGTCGATCCGCTCTGCAGCGACTTGCTGCACTTTCTGACCGCGACCCCTTGATTACGGGCACGCCAGGCATAGAGGGGAACCCGAATAGACCCCGGAAGATGACAGACCCCTCGCTGTACTTAATGGATTCGCGATTCCTCCACCAACCATACAGGCGATGATTTATTCATGAGCTGCTCCTTCAGTTCTACCGCGGAACCTGGGAATTCAGTCGCTGCGTTCTGGGAATCGAGTGGGGCTTCTTCACTGTCGACCTATCAGGCCCACGTGGCTGGATGTTGCAACCTTGCCTTTTCAGAATAATTATACTTCATACCATATTTAAGATGAATTTTTAATGGAGTATACGTTAAAAAAAAAACAAAAAAAAAAAACAATGCTCTAGGTGTCAAAAATCAAAAATGTAAGATGTAATTGCATTCGAGTTATGATCATATGGACTGAATGGTCATGGCTGTTATTTGTCATCTGACAAAGGATTCTGACGAATAACAGCCCCACAGATGTCCATTATTATTGCGTCTGTCACATTAGCTTACCAGCCTGTCTCCTGTTTGCTTTTACTGTAATTATGGACCCCAGAATATCCATATGAGACATTTTATGGTCTGAGCAGATAATTTTTCAAAAGGGACATTTCATCCTGGCATTGGGAGGACCTGTACCCAGGATCAAGGGACAATTCATCCTCTTTTTGTTGTGCTTCCCTCGTGCTTCCTGCTGATACCCATTTCTCATGTGATTTATGTAGCAAAGATGTATTTACTTCCATTTCCCGCCTTTGACTATTGACTCGATTCAAATCTCAGAGCGGATTTCGGCGGCTCTGGCAGGGGGCTTAGACGCCATGTGATAAATATTTTTCTTTCCCTGCAAAAAAGGAAGACCCCTAGCGAGAGGGACACAGTTCCTTCTTCTCAAGAGTCGTGTGGTTAAAATATTCCTGGAACGAGTGTTAAGTGCCCTCTGACTTTTACAAACTGCTGGGATATGCAGGAATTTTTGAAAGAAAGCAGAAGGACAATGGGCAGAGGACAGACAGACACTTTGGACTCCCAGAGGAAGCATAACAATTGGGAAAACAATGATTTCAAAACAGGGCAGAAACCAAGTGCCTTTCTGTAACAGCATCCAAAGTCAACAATGATATCCTGGAGCTGGATGTCAGAGGTTTGCAGCATCCAAGCTTGTTCAGCAGCTGAACATCAAGTCAGCAGTGTTTCTCAAAAACCCAGCTGCACCCCCTAGGCTCTGACCACCCACACCTGACTTCCATTTCCAGCCCAACTGCAGTAACATTTGACAAAGTCGTTCCGAGAAGCTCCACGGCCATGGAACCTACATCCCCAGCAAGTTCTACACGCTACGGACAGACCTGGTGCGCTCTCAGCGTTCTGAAGACCGGGCCCGAGACACCAGAAGAAGACTTGGATTCCTGGTGACAAAAACTCTGGTGGTGAAACCATAGTCACCTTCGAATTTGCCACGTTTGACAGGACTAACAAACAAACAAACATCTCCTTCAGGAAGCCTCTCTGGTTCTCCCTTACATTTGCGACTGCAGAAATAAAGAAAATGGTTACTAACTGGGCTGCCAGCAACTGAGCTTTGTATGCAGCAGCTGATGCCTGCAGTCGACACTCCCCGCTGTGATATCTGTGTGTTGGCATCTAAGGCCACATACAGCCAGTAATCTAAGCCTGCATCTA